CCTGTGTAGACCAGGCTGGGATTAATGGTGTGTGCCTACCCTGGCTTTTTTTTTTTTTGGGACTGTGTGGGGTTTTTGTTTGTGTTTTTTTTTCAAGACAAGGTTTCTCTGTGTAACCCTGGCTGTCCTGGAACTTGCTCTGTAGACCAGGCCTACCTTTACCTTGGGATCTTTATGTCTTTTCATGTCTTTTCCTCCTGAGTACTGAGGTTGCAGGTTTGAGTCACCATACCCTACTATCTCAATATTTTTAATTTTAATTTTATTTTTTGTTTGACCCAGGGTTTCACTGCTTGCTAGCCCTGGCTGTGCCAGAACTCACTCTGCAGATCCTCCTGCCTCTGCCTCCCAGTGGTGGAATTAAAGGTGTGTGCTACCACCGAACCACTCAGTTAATCTTCTTAAAAACTTGCATTTATTTATTTTTGTGTAGACGTGCATGTGCAATGGTGGATGTATGGAGAGCAGAAGATAGACAACTTACAGGAGTTCGTTTTCTTCTATATAGGCCCCTAGGATTAAATTCGGCCCTAGGATTAAATTCAGGTTGTTAAATTTCGTGGTAAGCACCATTTATTGCTGGGCCATTTCACTTGCCTGGACTTGGTTGGTCTTAAAATTGTAAAGAAATAAGAATCTTGGGTTCTATAATTCCAGAGTTTTACATATCTTTGTCAGTGGCCAGAAACTCATAATTCTATGAAGCATGCAACAGTTTATATATTTTCGAGGCCGGCTTTCTCTGGCTTTGGAGCCTGTCCTGGAACTAGCTCTTATAGACCAGGCTGGCCCCGAACTCAGAGAGATCCACCTATCTCTGCCTCCCAAGTGCTGGGATTAAAGGTGTGGGCCACCACTGCCCAGGTCATACAACATATTATTGAGTATGAATAATTCCTGCAAAGTCACTCTGAAATTCATATCTAATGTTGTTTGATTTTTTTCCACTCCATTGTTGATAGTGCTGCCCCCAGAGAGACTCAGGAAAAATGATTTTCATCATGATCACAGAGGTATTTAAAATAGCTATGTCTCTTCAGCATTCTTTGAATGCTCTTATTTGAAATACTGCAGTATGTCAGTCCGTGGGGATAAAATATGGAGGGAGGTACAGAGCAGAGTGGTGGGAAATAGATAAAATACAAAGAAAGTTTAGTTCATGGTGAAAATGATATTTGAAAGGAGTGGAGGCAGTAGATAAGTCAGCAGGCAATTTGATAGTCAATGAACTGTTTGGGGAAAAAAAAACAAATTAGAACATATTCAAGGCCCTAGGTTTAATCACTAGCGTTAGAAAAAACAAAGCAACTCAAAAAAGTTGGAATTGGGGAATTAGTCCTGCTAACTTGAAGTTTACACACTCATGCTTTTTCAAGCAACCCTAACTAAATACAGTGCCCCCAAAAGATGTGGAAGTAGGAGAGGAAAGGAAGGGGTTCTGTGTGAGGAGGACGGAGATGAGAGGATAATGGAGGGGAATGTGGTCTAAGTGCATTACATTTCTGTGTATGAAGTTGTCAAAAAAGTTGTAATTCTTACTTGATTCACTCCTTATACCAAAATAAGTTTCACACAGATATTAAGAAACAAACAACAAAAACCCTAAAACTTTAAGAAAATGGGTATGGTGTAATTCCTAGCACTGGAAAGGCTATGTTGATGGGAAGCTTGTTAAAGTAGTTGAAGCCAGTCTGACTTACACAGGGAGTTCCGTCCAGCCTGGAACTTGTGTGAGACCTTGACTTAAAAGAAAAATTTAAAGATAGGTGAATTTTGCATTTTATATTATAATAGGCTATTTTCCTAAAAATACAAAAACTTTTAAAATCAATAATTTGGGGAATTTTGTTTTGGAGAATTTTAACTCTGTAGCCCAGGTTAGACCTAAGAGTCTCATTATGTAGTCTATAGCCATAGAATTGAGTGGAATATAAACTGAGCTTTTTAGAGGAAAGTTCAGCAGTTCCAGTATTTTAAATACCCATACCTCTACCCAATTTTTGGTACAGGATCTCACTATGTAGAGCTGGATGGCCCGGAACTCTCAGGCTTCAACACAGATGTCTACCTGCCTTTGCCTCCTTATTTCTACTATTAATGATCAGGGCCACCATACCCCATTTTAAATATTCACAATCTTCTTCAGCAATTCCACTACTAGTACTTTTTCTTTAACTCAAAAAGCTATTTTATCTCGTTTCTTTTTTTACTTTTAAAAATTTGTATTTATGCTGGGCTGTGATGGTGCACGCCTTTAATCTCAGCACTTGGGAGGCAGAATCAGGTGGATCTCTGTGAGTTTGAGGCCAGCCTGGTCTATAGAGCAAGTTCCAGGGGTCAGCCTCCAAAAAGCTACAGAGAAACCCTGGGTTTTTTTTTTGTGTGTGTGTGTGTGTGTGTGTGTGTGTGTGTGTGTGTGTGTGTTTGTATTTTTGGGACAAGGTCTCACTGGCTGGCCTGGAACTCACTCTATAGGCTACACTGACCTCAAACTTAGAGAAATCTGCCTGCTTCTGCCTGAGTGCTGGGATAGGTTCAACTTGTTCTATTTTTTGCGATGGTCTCTATAGCCTGGCTATCTTGGAATTTAATACTTAGATTACACTGACCTCAAACTGAATTCTTGCTCAGTTTCCTGAGTGCTAAGATGAAAGGTGTGTGCTACCACACCAGGCATACCTCCAGCATTTGATGAGGATTGAGGATCTGGGTTTCTGAAGTGAGAAGTGCAAAGATTCACCTGGAGAAAATTGAGTACTCAGTAGAATCTAGTAGGCAAAGATTCTCAGGGATAGAGAGATGGTTCAGTGGCTAAGGGCGCTTGCTACTTTTTCAGAGTTACAACCCCAGAATTGGGTAGCTCATAACCACTTTAACTCCAGCCCCAGGGAATCCAACCTGCTCTTTTGGTGGTAAACTGTGCCATAGGCAAACAGTGACATAAATAAAAATTTAAAAACCTTGAAAGTAACCTTTCAAACCTTGAGGTTTTGTGATGAAGATTAGAAGATCATAAATAAAAAGGGGATCACTTTTATTTTTCTTTTTAGACTTTAAAATTTTTTAATCACTTTTTAAAAAAAAAGTTTTAAATCCAAAAAAAAAGTATTAAGTTTTTTTTGTTGTTTTTTTTTTTTTCATTCCATAGCTAAAGGCTGGCCTGGAACTTGTGACAATATTCTTTCTCCATAACTAAAAATGACCTGGAATTCTCTGATGGCTATGACTGGGCTGGAACTTGTGACAGTCTCCTCCTTAAGCCTCCCAAGTGTTGAGGCTATATACATGAGCCACCTGATTTTAGAACCACTCCTTGATATTGATGCATCAGTTATTCTGACTTTGTAGTGACCAAAAGTAAACACATAATACTTCCTAATTATGTTGCTTCCCGTTTAGGGTAGCAGATTGATACGTATATAAGCATTTACAGTGAATTGTGGTAAGAAAATGTGATGGGCAGAAGTGGTAGTACCATAGGGGTAGAGAAGAGAGAGGACAGCCATTTTCTGGTTTACTTTTTACAGTAGTCCTATGAAAGAAACAGTTCTTTTATAACTACTGCTCAAGAGCCTGTCTTGTGAAAGTCTAGGTGAGCCGGCTTACAGCAGACTGTTATTAGCATAGTTGGAGAGGTCTGAATCAAGCTATTTCACCGTTCAGTTCTGAAATATCTCCATATTTCTGAAATTTGCACATCTTACATTTGATGACAGTTATATATACATATAGGGACTTGAGAAGGTTGTTGTAGCAGTTAGAAGTGCCTGTTGCTCTTTAAAGGATCCCAAATTTGGTTGCCAGAACTCAGTGTTGGATGGCTCACAACCACCTGTAACTCTAGCTCTAGAGGGTTCTAATATCTCTGGTTACTACAGGCACTTGCAGTCACATATAGGCAGACAGACAGATACAATTAAAAAATTAAAATCTTTTTAAAAAGAAGTGCATATAGGGGCTGTGATCTAGCTCAGTTGGTATTTACCTTAGCATGCATGTAACTCTGGGTTCAGTCACCAGCATTACATAAACTTGAGCATGGCAGGCATACTACTGTAGTCCCAATCCTCAAGAGGGAGGAGGCAGGAGGATAAAAACTTCAAGGTCTTGTTCTATATTACATGGGGTTTAATGCCACCTCAGTATCTAATGTAATAGATTATTATTTTGCTATTGAAGCCAACCTGGACACATGAAAGCTTTTTTTTGTTTTTGTTTGTTTGTTTGTTTGTTTTTTGAGGCAGAGGTTCTCAGTAAACTATGGAGCCAGTCCTGAAACTTGCTCTATAGATCAGACTGGCCTCAAACTCAGAGATCTGTCTGCCTCTGCCTCCCGAGTGCTGGGATCAAAGGTGTGCACCACCACCATCCAGTGCACATAAGCTCTTTTTTTTTTGTTTTTTTGGTTTTTCGAGACAGGGTTTCTCTGTGGTTTTGGAGCCTGTCCTGGAGCTAGCTCTTGTAGACCAGGCTGGTCTCGAACACACAGAGATCCGCCTGCCTCTGCCTCCCGAGTGCTGGGATTAAAGGCGTGCGCCACCCCCGCCCGGCACATAAGCTCTTAAAAGTATTTTATGCCCTTGCATTTCAGAAGTTGCTTGTTTTTAGCATTTATTGGAGAGTTTTGATATTATATGGCCTGTGTTATTGGTAGCCCTCACTTTATTTTTTTCTTTTCTTTTTTTTTTTGCCCTCCCACCCCCCAAAGATTAGGTTCAGGGTTTTTGTATTTATTTATTTTTGTTTTTTGAGACAGGGTTTCTCTGTAGCTTTAAAGCCTGTCCTGGAACTAGCTCTTGTAGACCAGGTTGGTCTCGAACTCACAGAGATCCGCCTGCCTCTGCCTCCCTAGCCCTCACTGTAAAAGCCTCTTTTTTTCCCCAGTTATATTCTTAACATGGATTCAAGCAGCAGCAGCAGTGGCAGCGGCAGCGGCAGCGGCAGCAGCAGCAGCGGCAGTGGCAGCAGCAGCAGCAGCAGCAGCAGCGGCAGTAGCACCAGCGGCAGCAGCAACAGCAGCAGCAGTAGCAGCAGCGCCAGCAGCAGCAGCAAAACCTGTAAGTAGCCCGCTCTTTCCACAGTAATGCACATCGAGCATCTTTGTAGATGACTGAAATGAGGTTTGGGATACTTAGCTTGATTTGGTCCTAGTCTTGTTCTCTTTGGGATGTTGAAGTTTATTTCCCTGGTGTCAAGAGCAGATCTTCGTGTTTGTTTGTGTGTGTGTTTAATGTGTTGTTTACTCCTTTTTGGTTCCTGGGTCATCTTTTATTTCTTCTCAATCTTTCTTGGGGGTATAAATTCTTTTATTTTTTTCTATTTTCCTCCCCCTCTTCCTTTCTTTGACCTTCTTTCCATTGCTGGACAAAGAGCCCAAGGTGTAGTAGGCAAATGTTCTACCACTGACCTATGTCCCCAGTTTTGGGAAAATGTAAATTTCACTAGCTCTAATTTATAAATTGTTTTTCAGGAATAAAAGACATGAGCTATTAGATTTTATCATGCTTCTTAATGCTTTTTCTTTCTTTGATTTATAGCTGTGACTAAATTGCCACAGAAAGAAGCCAGGTAAGGAGAATTGTTGAAACATGATCTATCTATCTATCTATCTATCTATCTATCTATCAGAAGTATCCACTATTCTGGGTAAGAAAATTTAAGAGTAAACATTTCATTTTCTCTGAGAATAAACACTATATGGTACTTACAGAATCACGATGGTTGTTTGAGTTTATAACCAGTTTTAAAGTATCTGATTCTAGTCTTGGGCCATTTTTAACTGTTTAGCTGTTTGTTGCTTTTATTTATTTATAGTTTTTAGCTTATTTAAGACTTGATCTCACTATGTAGCCCTGGTTTTCCTGAAACACTATGTAGACCAGGCTGGCTTTTAACTCATAGAGATCTGCCTTGCCTGCCTCTGCCTCCTGAGTGCTGGGATTAAAGACATGCACCACCACACATGGCTAGTTTTTGGCTTTTTGAGACAGGGTCTCACTATGTAGCCCTGGCTAACCTGGAACTTACTATGTAGATAAGGTTGACTTTGAACTTGTGGCCTCTGCTTCCTAAGTGCTAGGATTAAATGAATGCTCAGTTAGTTTGATTTTTAAAATGTCTTTGAACCATGATTTTTTAGTCTCCATCAGTCAAAAAGACGTTTTGTCTGTGATCTAGTCTGCATCTTGCCTCTAGGTGAATATGCTGAGTGTACTGAAATTATGTTGATGCCCAATTCAAATAGCTCATCATATAAAAATCAAGGTTTTTAACCTAGCAGTTAGAGCTTTCAATGATCTGGCCCAGTAAGTTGTAGGAAAAGAAGTGAGTAAGGAATGCATAGAAATCGGGTGAGAACCAAAAGATGACCATGTGCTAGAAATTAAGAGAAGCCATTTAGTTTTTAGTTTTTTTTTTTTTTTGAGACAGTCTATGTATCTCTGACTGTCCTATAATTCACTATGTAGACCAGACTGACATCAAACTGAGATCCACCTGTCTCTGCCTTTTGAATTCTGGGATTAAAGATGTGCCACCATGACCAGGAAAAAGACTCTAAAAAGAAAAAATACTTAGTTATCTTTATGTGTATAAGCATTTGCCTGTTGTTATGTATGTGTGCCTTGTACCCATGAAGGCAAGAGGAGGGTTGTTGGACCCTCTGGAACCAGAATTACAACCAGTTACAGGCTACCACGTGAGTGCCTGCTTCTGACTCCAGAGTGCTGGAATTGAAGGCATGTGCCACCACCCAGCCTCAAAGAAAGGTTCTTTAAGGTTATAGTAAATAGGATAGCAAAGGCCCATCAACTTGGCAGCTTAAAAGAGATCGCGTACAGCTGGGCGGTGGTGGCGCACGCCTTTAATCCCAGCACTCTGGGAATTCGAGGCCAGCCTGATCTACAAGAGCTAGTTCCGGGACGGGCACCAAAGCTACAGAGAAACCCTGTCTCGAAAAACTAAAAAAAAAAAGAGAGATCATGTACAGTAGAAATAGATTAGCCTTGGTATCTATAATGGATACAAAAAAAATATAGTAACAGGTATTTGGAGTGCTTTTCATTCATCATAAAAATGTTTCATGTTCAGGAGATGGATCACTGGGTTAAGTAAGGTACTTGCCACAGAAGCCTGATGACTTGAGTTTGATCGTCAGAATCCATGTAAAGGTGAAAGAGAAGTGACTTCACAAAGTTGTCCTGTAACCTCCAATTGTGTTCTGTGGTACATGCACACACCCACACACACTATATACTTCCCCTACAATGATGACTTTTTAAAAAGTATATCATACAGAGGGTTTGTGGCTATAATCAGAGCCCTTGGAAGGCTGAGGCAGAGTTTCTCTGAGTTCCAGTATTATATCTTGGGATAAAGAGTATGTGCTAGCTAATTTTATGTCAGCTTGACACAGGCTAGAATCATTTGAGAGGAGGGAACCTCAACTAAGAAAATGCCTCCATAAGATTGGGCAGCAGGCAAGCCTGTAGGACATTTCTTGGTGATTGATGTGGGAGGGCACAGCTCATTGTGGGTGGTGCCATCCCTGGGCTGTTGGTCCTATGTTCTATAAAAAAGGAGGCTGAGAAAAACCATGATGAGCAAGCCAGTAAGCAGCACTCCTCCATGTCCTCTGCATTAGCTCCTGCCTCCAGGACTCCAAACTCCTTTGCCTTTTTGTCCTGACTTTTCGTTGATGTGGAAGTATAGACCAAATCAACCATTTCCTCCCCAAGTTGCTTTGGTTATGGTGTTTCGTCACAGCAATAAGACAGAAATTGGTGCCAGGATAGGGCATTGCTATGACAGACCTGACCATGTCATTTGGGGGTCGATTGTGAAAGTACTTTGGAACTTCGGGGCCAGAAAATTCATTGAGTGTTCAAAGCCTAGTGAAATGTTCTATGGGAACTTGAAAGATTAGTGTTGAGAGAAATGCAGATGATGGAGGTGTGGTTTTTGAAGTTCCAGAGGGAAGATTTGAAATCACTTAAAGACTCTCATTAGGGCTGTTAACGTATCTTGTGTTAAGAATCTGTGTGTGGAAGAATTGGTTGTGATTATCAAGATACCAAAACCACTAAAGTGAAAAAAAAACCTTTGCTTTGCTGGGATAATTGATGCTGGACAACTAGAGCTGAGAAATCAGCAGTGATTAAGAACACACCATCGCTGAGGTGAAATCTTGTGGGAAGTGTTTTCTCAGAATTAGCACACAGAAGTGGTACTCCAGAGGTGACCTAGGTTGTACCTTGTGTTGGCAGCAGAACCTGGTAGTGTATAAGAGTCACCCAGGTGGTACTGGTTTTGAAGTCATGAAGGTATCGTGGAGAGCAGCTGAGACTTGGCACTGTGTGGCAGGGCTGAAGTCCCTGAAGAGAGCCCAGCAGAGGCTATTGGTGAAACTACAGCGCAATTGCAGCAAGAGACCTCCGCATTTTGGAGATGCCAGTACCATAGGACAACTACCAAGAACAACAGTAGTGGAGTGCAGTTGTCCTGATCTTAGGAGACAATCTGTGTGGGCTGTAGTGGGTGGAGCCAGAAAAGTGGTCCTTTAGAGAAGCCCAGAAGATCGTGACTTGAACCCAGATATTGGACATTGAATTATTTACACAGTTGGAGTTTGGTTTTGCTTTATTCAGATTGTGACTGTGCCCTGGTTCTTCCCTCTTGAAGTAAGATAGTGCTTAGTTTTGATTTTTACAGAAGGCCACAGTTGAGAGACTTTGAACTTTCTAAAGAGATTTTGAAAATTTACAAAGACTTTGGATTTTAAGAGATTTGATATGTTAAAGATACTAAAATTTTTTTAAGTGTTTGGAATTTTAAATACTCCGGGACTTGTAAATTTTGTAATGTTTTATATTGTAATGTTTATTAATGTGTGATCTTGTTGATGAACAAGAAAGGAAAGGTTTTATCTTACCAGTGATATCTTTGTGTCAAGTTGACAAGGGGTCAGTGAGAACCTTTGCTCTTTGGCTCTCTTACACAAATTCATCTCAGAGTTGAAGAATGATAAGCTCCCAATGAATTTTTCCCTGCCACCAAAACTATTTTGAGTACTTGCACTCTGACAAGACCCAGTTTACTTTTTGTAGCCGACAGACGCCTCCTTTGGGAAGTTTGTAAGAAAGGGGAAAGGTGTATAGAGTAATTGGAATAATTGAAAGGTTGTAGTTCCAATAAAGGGGAATAGCGTTAGTGTAGTAGGAAACAACCAAAACTTAACAAGTAATCCTGCTTATTGTAGAAAATATGGAAACTGCCCAGAAGGAAAGAATATTTATGCTCATATTTTTCTTTTGTTTTTTTCCACCTTATTACTTAGCTGTGTGGTGATTGACTCAGACTCTGACTCTCTCTATGAGGAAAAGAGATCTAAGATCTGTGAAATAAGCAGTGAAGGCAAGTATCATCTTTGCTTAGAGAAATAGCTGCTCTGAAGCCTTGTCACATGTGGCAGTTTTAGGGTCTGACTCTGCACATTTTTAAGTTTATAATGACCTTGAGGCCAGTGCCGCCCTTTTTTCATTATGTGCTGGATGTCAGTATGGCTGGCTTCCTTCTTCTTTCTTTTCTTTTTTCTTTTTTTTTTGAGACAGGGTTTCTCTGTATAACAGTCCTGGCTGGCTTCAAACTCACAGAGATCCACCTGCCTCTGTCTCTCAAGTGCTGAGATTAAAGGCCTGAGCCACCACTGCCCAACTATGGCTGGGTTCCTCACCTTGATCTGTTTCCTAACACAGTTGCAACTCTTCTGCTGCCTTAGGGTTCTATTTGCCTAGACTCCACTCCTCCATCTTCCTCTCCTTCCATCCTTTATAGGTGGGTATGACAAGGAAGAGGAGAGGGTGAGAGGCATGGCTCAGTCCTCTTTCCAGCTTGGTGGAGACTGGAGCTGGGGGAGGTACCAACTACTATCTACTCTATACACTATTTGTATAAGGTAGAAATCACCAAAAGTCCAGCTACGTCATAGGACTAAATAAAGAAGTTTTTTTAAGCTAGAGAACTTTAACTTGATATAAATGAGATACCACTTTATTGATGTAATTGCCCACATTTTGCTGTGAACCACAAGGCAGCAGGTTTGTGTTTAGGAACAACTGAGCAAATACTTCATGTTGTTTAGACAATGTGATTTTAAAGTGGGCATAGCATACATAATACTTTCATTGCTAATTTATCTGTCATTACTCTTAGTAAAACACAAAATACAGGGAAAACAATCTATAAGTATAATTTTTAACTGTGATTCAGAATGTCCAAACACTCAGTTTTTTTAATTTGTGCTCAATAACCTGCTGATGTCTGTATATACAGAGTGGGTTGGATAGAAGGAGTATATTTATAGATGTCTCTTGAATTTCAGATGAGTCTTCTGACGAGTCTTCTTCTGATGAGTCTTCTAACGTTAAGGGCTCCAGCGATCAGAAGTCTCAAGTAATTGTTATCGATGATGAAGATGACAGTCCCAATTTAAAGGGTTCTGAGCAGAAAAAAGATGTTTCTAGTGATGAGTGCCAAATGCCTGTTCTCGAAAAAGAAATTGATTGTGTTGT